CTGTATTGGCTTTGGCGCTATGTTTGGTGGCCGTACACTGTGTGCCCCAAAAAGTTGACTTATTCAATAAGGGCAGTCGTATTGTGAACGGCGTGCCGGCCACCCAAGAACAGGGTACTCACCAGTGCTCACTGCACGCCGAGGGTTGGTTTGGCAAGAGTCATATTTGCGGTTGCTCGCTTTATGGCAAAAATTATGCCATCACCGCTGCCCACTGTACCGATGGGTAAGTTGTTTATTTTATTGTGAATTAAATAGGTATTAATATGCTAAGATATTTATATAAAATAACATTATCAAATACATTTATATACATAGATTGTTAGAGACATATGTGATTCTATTATAACTAATAGAGAGTAACATAAAGTAATAGAAACAAAATAATAATATAACAATTATTAAAATCAGTAAAATAAATTTATAATTTATTAACTATTGATGAGTAAAAATGCTTACATTTAATTAATAATACACTATCATAATTAAAACCACATAGATCACAAGCGTCGAAACTGGAGGTGAGATATAATGGTCTTACCCTGAAGAGTTTGGCAGTTATAAACCAGGTGAAAGAGATCCGTCAGCACGAGAACTACGACACACCCACCGACAGTATCGACAACGACATCACTGTATTGGTGTTGACCACTGACATTGTCGAGGTGACCGGCCAAGTGAGCAAGGTCACGCTGGCCGACACGGTGCCCGCCGTGGGCGCCGACGCCCACCTGACCGGTTGGGGTAACACAAAGTCGGGTTCGGGCAGCTCTACGCCAACAGTGCTTCAGTACCAGAAGTTGCAGATCGTGTCCAACGAAGAGTGCGAAAAGATTTACAACCAATTGCCGCAGGACTACGACTTCCCGCCCGTCACCGCACGCATGCTGTGCGCCCGACACGCCCAGGGCTCCACCGGTTGCTACGTAAGTGTTATGATTACAATCATTTAGTCATGATTGATTAATTTTTAATGAGTATAGCATTCTAAGAATAATGGCACTTAGATAGTAATATAATAAATTATTTTACAATAGTAATAAAATAAGTTGCAATAGGTTACGATAGTGAACAAAACTGTAATTTATCTTTGAAAACATTATAAATACTTATGGTTTATTAAGATATTTATATTACGGGTAGCTGCCATTTACACATTCTTTTAATTAAGTAATTAACGTTAATTAAAATTGTTCTTATACCAGGGTGACTCCGGCGGACCATTGTTGTCAGGCACACCCGCTAAATTGGTCGGTGTTGTGTCGTGGGGTACACCCAACTGCCCGACCACCACACCCAACAAAAACCCCAATGTTTACGCTAATGTAGCCAACTTGAAAGCGTGGTTGGATACCAAATTGGTTAACTAATTGTGATTAAAAAATATAATCACTTTCTATGGCAACGGCGTTTGATTAAACTATTATAAATTAACTTATTAATATTTTTGTTATATTGTATTGTTATGTATTAGTTGAATCAATTTGATACTTAAACTACACATTGATTATTCTGATCATAATAAAAATAAATTTTTAGCATCGCAAATTTGTTTCATTTTATTTTTATATAGATAACAATATAAGAATTTAATGTTTCATTTATGCAAAACATTATCGGACTCGTTAACTGTCCAATAAGTATTGTGTAGATTGATAAACTAATATATTTTTAATAATATTTGTGTTTTAATTACAGTTTGCATAACAAACTTAAAAATAGTTAAAATCAAACTTTTAGGTGTAATTAATATTTATAAAATATTTTTATATTGACATTGGTGAGCTTGGGTTTTAATAATATTATGTTCTGATTCAATTATTTTTTACACTAGTTTTAATTTTAATATAATTTATAATTTTATCATTTGTTGTTTTATTAATACAAGTTCTAATAATATTATATTATAATCAAGACTTATAAATCTATTTATATAAATCTTAAAATTAATTATAAAGAATCTTAGTCATATTTTACAAAACTAACAATTGACTATAAATATTTTGAAATGCATTCGTTTTATGCAAGAAAAATAAATTAGATTACAAATCTTTTGTAATAACTGTGTTAATAAACTTAATAAAAGTAATAAGATACATATTTCAAACAAAGTAAATTAGTAATATTGTAAGTAAATAGTCTATAATATAAATTATATAAATATTATATTAATAATTTAATATCAAAATACATATCACATATTTACAAACATGAAAAATTAATTAGTAAATGCAAATAAAGCTAAATAAAGTTTGTATGTAATAAATACATCAATAATATTTTTGCTACTAATAGATATTAATAAATTAAAGTCGTTGCAAATGGCGTACGATCTTGATTCAAAATATTTGTCAATTTGTAAGCTAGTTCTATTTTCAAACAGATTTAACTGGCTAACATTTGGTGGGATAGCAATTGCAGCAAATGGCCAAATATATATCAATAAGTTATGGAAATACTTTGGCTATTTTGCCGTATGTTTTGGCATTATTGGGCAAATCTCGATACTTGTTTACACCTGGTCCTTAAATGAAGATGGTAAACTGTTTGGCGAACTACCCTTATTTGTTTGGGTACTACAGGGTTTCTTAAATACAATACATCGTATATCGCGTTTATACATAATCTACTATGTAAATATCCACGGAGATGGTTTAATTGCCATTTTTATCGGCAACCTTGGCAAAAATCTCACAAAATTACCAAGATTTAATGCTGAAATTATTTGTCTTATTATTATTTGGTATGCTCAGCTCATGGCAGCACCGATTATTACTTATTTTATACTGGCTGAACTCAATCGTGTCGTATTTTATTTGACAGTATTAGAAACTAATTTGCTGTTTATTAATCTCTGGGCCATACCATTCATGCTATGCATTATGTCTATATATTGTTGTCTACTTTTAGATGTCATTATCAATCGTATTAACTGTTTGAAAGGTAATTTATGCAAAAATTATTAGAATATAAATTATCAATCTGAACTACATCACAAATAAAATAATATTTTTTGAGCTAAATTACAGCTTTAAATGATTAAAAACATATAGATTTTGGCTAAAAAATGTTGTCTACATTATCATTAAATATTAGAGAAACCGTTTATTTTTTAAACTATATATTAAAGTATAAAGATATCTATCTGTCTCTTTAAGTAACGCTAACATACCTATTTGTAAGCAAATAAAATAGACAATACACTTTAATATCTATGAAAATAATTTAAAAAATCATCCAAACGGTTTCCATATTAAATACTAGTACATTATATTCCTATAGAATTCAATACTAAAAATTTCCTAAAGAAACTTATTAAATTTTTTAATTACAATTATAATTCTATGTTATATCAAAAATTACAGCTAGAATTGATTAAGACATAAAATAACATAACATTTTACAAATAAAAGATTATGAAAATATAAAATCAATTATTTTTTAAGGCAAACGAGTGGCAAATGCGGAAACAATACTCATTGAATGCAAACATTTGTTACTTAAAATTGTGAACACAATCGAGGAGTTGGACCGACGGCTATATTATTACCAAATAATTAATGCCATCGCAACTGTATTGACAGTAATGGTGGCTATATTTACAATATCCAGATCAGGTGATTATGATATTAAGGGCGGTTTGTATGAGTCCATGTTGTTTGCGAGCGTCTCCTATCCCATACAGTTTATCGCCGCATGTTTTATATGCGGTTCAGTTGGCGATCGTATGGCTAGAGTGGCCAAAGTGTTGGATGGTATAAATGCCGATGAGTTGCCAGATATGGCGTATAAAGAATGGTTAATGTTTACAACTGTGATGCAAACTATTAGTACATCTGGCTTCACTATTGGCGGTTACGCTACTTTTAACAAACGTACACTTATTGTTGTAAGATATACTACATTTATATTAAAATTTACATACTTAATTTAATTTTATTATATTCAGATTTTTACATTTATTCTAAACTACACGGTCATATTACTCCAAACACGATAATATAATTATGTCTAATTTTTAAATCAAGATAGTGTTCAACAAATCTATTAACAAAATTATGTTTTAGTAAAAATCTTAGGTTTAATGGCAAGTGAATATTTAAACAGTATTGTAAGAACATTATTTGTAATTTTTAAAGTATTATACCAATTTCACAGCATAATAAATTTATTTTTAAAATTACGTAATAAACTTGTAATGTTGTCAATTGTTCACATTTTATGTCCACGAGTTTGAAATAAAATAACGGCATAATTCAATATGAATACAAATATCTGTAAAGAAATAAAATCAATTATAATCATTTTATGAATTACATAATTTAAATAAATTAACCGCAATTAATGTTGACTTATTAAGTCTAGCAAAGCCTCCAATAGTGAACCCAAACGTACGCGTATTTCGTACGACATTTGCAAACATAAGCCACTCGTGATATTCAGTGCTCGACCACTGATCGGTATTTATGTCGTCCAAAACCGTCATAATATTTAGACATTTACCCCAAACTCGTCCGCATATAAAACACGATGCAATTAATTGTATAGAATATGAAAAACTGTTTATTCCAACGCTTAAGGTATAATCACTAACACTCGGAACTTCTTTTAACAGGGTTATAATTAATATCCAAAACATTATAAAAAATATAGTATTTATAGTGCTATATATTGTGAGAATGCTGAATTTCTCATCTAGTTTGTTAATTGTATCATTAATGTTTATAAACATGCACTTGTAGTTTAGCAAATTATGCTTGATTATATTATTCGAAGTATCTATAACGTGAATAAAATATACATATTATTTATATCATTTTGTTTTTAATTAAGAATTATACTTTGATTTATTTTCCAAGCAATAGAATTATGTATTTGATCTAGCAAATTGCAACAATATTCCGATGTGAGCCAGGTAATAGCGGAACAAATCCATGCCATATACAGATTAATTGTTACTTCAATATTACCCCCGATGTAAAACAGATTATCTGAATATAATATAAAATTTGTTACGCATAAAACAAATATAGTAATTGCATGAACGAGCCAGAATAAAAATACAAAACAAAAATTCCTGTTTATTATGGGAGTTATTTGAGTATAAGGACCGAGTTTATTATATACAGTTGACCATATACCAAAACCATTGCGACTAAAATAATACAACACACAATACTTTTGATAGCGTGTTATCATATTCAAAACAAATACAGTATAATTTGCGGCTTGACCAAGGGCCAATTCTGACGATTCCAGACCATTTTTCAATGATGCAAATAAATATACGAACGAGGTATCAATTATCATAATTAATGCAAAAATAATGTGCCCATAATATCGCCAAAATTGGTTAATGTAAAGGTGTCCGTCAGCATCAATGGCCAATCCGCCAAATGTTAATCCAGTTAATCTAT